TAATGGGTCCAAGTGAACGAGCACACATGTGGTCTAATTAAATTAAAACCTGTTTCCAGAAAGTGCTTCAGTCTGTGTCAGTGAAGATCGTGTTCTGTTTTGGTCGTTAATCATAACAAATGGTCTAGCACTCGTTGCTCTAGCCTAAGTTAACAAAAACAACTCATATTTGGTCAATTTGGGCTGTCAAACCCACAAGGGTCAAGCCCGGAATGCTCGCTGAAGAACCAGTTCTGGGTATCAGTTAATTTCTCTTCGGAACTGTTAACTGACTGCTCGTAGAGTGTACTCTACCACGGATTTATTTGCCCCGGTTAGCTTATCCATTGCCTTGCATACTTTGTGTGACCCGCGCAGGTGACTCATTCGCGGCAGCAGCCACGGAGGGGGTGTTCGTCTACGCCCAGCAAAAGGCCGGTTTGGGAAGCAGTCTCTTCGGTGGCGTCTCCAACTGGCTCTTCGACGCCCTCGGTGTGAACGAAGAGACCACGCCCTCGAACGCCCGGGTCCACCTCGCCGAAGGAAACCTCTCCGCGGCTCTGGACATTGCTCTTCGTCTTCAGATGCACGACCTCATTGAAGAGGTCATAGAGGCTGTGCCACACAGTCAGGGTAAGTTGACGGCGCCAGATATCACCGCTTTTCTCGGTTGAGAAGTTCAGGTGTAGGGACACCTCGTTGCGGCACCACAAAAAGGCGACCAGAATCCATGATGACACATCGATTAGACGTCTGCGTGGTTTGGGACGCTGTGAAACAATTAGAAGTCGTGTCGATGGAAGAGGCAGCTTTGTGAGCTTCCACGGGTCTTGTATTTTGACCGAGGTATTGTGTAAATCGTGTTTTTTCATTCACCTAAAGTCAACTTCCTCACGCGGAACTTGTCGATCGATCTGGTCATCCGCAGCCTCGTGCCGTTCCTCGCGCGGCAGCTGGAGGGCCGTTCACGACACGTCGCCTTCTACGCCGCCTGGGTCGACGCTGTTCTCCACGTTCACGCCGGCACCCTCCGACGCTCCCTGGCCGAAATCGCCAGACCTCGACTGGCCAGGGACGCCCCAATCAAACTCCTTGGCGTGGAGACTCCTGAGGAGGTGGAGGAGCGACTGAAGCAGCCCGGCGTGCTGCTGGAGCACGGGGAATGGAAGGCCTTCCAGGCATCTCTCATCCGTCTGCAGACTGCGTTGGAGACCCTGAAGGGGTCGCTGATCACCAGGTGGGAGACATTTTTTTGGTTTACTCGGTTCAGGGACAAGTCGTTGTCGTCCTCAATGTAATCTGGAGATTGGTTCACGGCAGACAGACAATCCAGAACTGTGATTGGTCCAGATTGACAGCTGCGGTTCTCTGATGGGTGATCGATAA